GACAAGCACTGTGGCAATTGGACAATTAAAGCAGACATTGGGGGGGGAAGAAGAACTAGGGAGGAGGGTAGAGAAAACAGTGCAACAATGAATGAATGAAAACCCAAAATCTCTGTAAATGTTCACTAAAACCAATAAAATTTAATAATAATTTTAAAAAAGAAAAGAAATGAAAATGAAGATTACCCTAAGAATCCCTATTAATCTTGAACTCACTCCTTGAAGTCACCTTTCAGCCAAATTCTAGATTAGCCTATAAAGAACATCTGTGAAGAATGCTCTCCTCAGAACTGTTGGAAAGTAGAGCAGATGGAGAAATCAATCTAATGGAAACAGTGGAAAGAATGAGAATGTTGACATTATGTGGAAAGTGTAATCAGTATCTCTGAACAAGGTGTATAAAAATTGTTAAATGAACACCTTAATTTGCTATCAAAAACATAATAAGATATTTTCAAAAGAAGAAGAAAGCAAATGGATACATTTTCCCAAAAGCAAAGATGAGAGCAAGGAGGGGGTAGAGAAACTGGAGAAATGGGCCAGGTAGGGTAGAGACGGGGAGAGTGCTGACACATTGTAGGGAGAGAAGCAACTCTCTTGGAACAATTTGTGTATAGCTTGTTGAATATTGTTGTTAGTTTCCATCGAGTTGTGTACAACTCATTGTAACCCTGGAAGCCACAGATTTGAACCCTGTCATATCCTGTGTCCTCCTCCTCATCTCTGACACCATTGAGCTCATACTGCAATCACCACGTCAATCCATCTCATTGAGGGTCTTCCTCTAGCCGCTCCTATCATACTCAAACTATGTGAGATGAAGATTTCTCATCTTTGCCTCCAGGAAGCATTCTTTCTGCATTTTTTTCAAAACATATCTGTTTGTTCTTTTGGCAGTCCAGAGGATTTCCATACTCTTCTTCAACACCACAACTCAAAAGCATCCATTCTTTTGTTGTCCTTATTCCTTGTCTCATTGTCCATTTCTCAGATGCATAGCAAGTGATGGAAACGACTATGATCTCAAACAAGCACAGCATAATCTTCAAACTGACATTGTTGCTCCTTGAGTAATTTAGAGATGTCCCTGACAGTAGATTTGCCCAATGCAATACATCTCCTGATCTCCTGACTGCTGGTATCAAGGGTGTTGATTGTGGATCCAAGTAAAAGGAAACTCTTACCAGTTTTAAATCTTTTCTCTATATTGTTGTTTATCAGTTCTGTTTTTTGTTCTCTAGATGTTGAGATGTTATCCACACTGAAGACTGTAGTCTTTGATCTTCTGCGGTAAGCACTTCAGGTCCTCACTTTCAGCAAACAAGACTGGGCCATCTGCCTAATGCAGGTTGTTGATGAGTTTTCCTCCAATCCTGTTGCCGTATTCTTCTTCATAAAGTCTAGTTTCTCAAATTATTTGTTCGGCATACAGATTGACTAGATATAGAGAAAGGATATAACCCTAGTACATATCTTTCCTGATTTTGTTCAATCAGAAAGTGTTGAATGAGAAACTAATTTGTTATCTAAAATTGCCCTGAAAACACAAAGATATGCTCAAAAACCACTAAGGATTTCATTTTGAAAAGTTAAAGGAGATATAGGCTATTCCTTAATAGATTTACTTACCCACTCTTTCACTCAACATGTATTAAAAGTTTTAAAAGTTCATTATGTGTTTCAGGGATTGGGGTGGACAGCAAAGTCAGTCAGTTCTGAGTTCTGGAAACTGCCTTCCACTTCCTGCATTAAATCCCATGCCTATGACCAGGTCCAAACTGAACCTTCCGCTTTTTCTTCTGCCACAATGGAGTTGCTCTCCCTTAGCCTGCCCAAAGCCCATTCCTCCAGCTGTGCCCTGGAGCCCATGTCTCCACCTTTTCACAAGCCCTGTGCTCTTAATATCACCCTCACCTTCTTCAACCTCTCATTCTCTCTTGCAACCTCATTGTCTCCATTGAAAACTGCTCAACCATGTATCAAAGAATTTCAGGTGGCCTCTAACAGACAACAAGAAAACAGGGATCTTAATGCTGCAACCTCAAAGAAATGAAGTCTACCAACAACCCAGGACAGCTTGGAAGCAGAATTTTTCCTAGCTGATCTTGTCAGTAGCTGAATTACTACTGTTGAGACTCTCAATAGAGGAACCCAGCTAAGCTCTATCTCGACTTTCAAACCAAAAAAACTGTTAAGATAATGAATTGGTGTTATTTTAAGTATTTCATTTTAGATAACTTATTCTTCGAGCCAGGGGGTGGAGGGAGGAATGTAGTGCCCATCCATCCAATCCATCACCGGATTTTTTTTTTTTATTTCTTCAAGGAAAGAATTTTTTTTATATATCTACTTTTGTCCATCTAATGTCCTCTACCCAGAATAAATTTTCATCCCCCCTTGTTGTTAAGTACTGTTGAGTCATAGGCGACTCATAGTAACCCTATGAACGAAAGACCTGAAGATTTCTATAACTTTCATTTCTCCATGTTCATAGAATTTCCAGAGGCAAGCTATTGCAGAAGTGGATTCCAGTCCTGCTTCCAAGCTTGTTTTAATCAGGGAGCTCCACCAAACACTGTCCACCATGGGTAACCATTATCATGTATGACACATCAGTGTCACAGTGTTTATCATCACAGCAACAGTGAGTTACCTCTGTAGAGCAAATGGACAGACCAGTGTGTTTGACTAAAACAATTTAAACCAGGCCTGAGGGCTGCAGATTAAAATCCTCTCTTAGCCGGTTAAATAGACTAGTCTCCTGATCTGCCCTTGCCACTACTGCCAATATTCCACAAAAAAATAGAAGTGATGTCATCTGGGGTAGCAAATCACAATGTCACCACCCACCTTCCTGGACACCTCCTAGAGCAGGTCATACAGAATCCTTAGTCATATTGATTATCCATTTTAATTAAAGAATAATTATAATTAATAATTATAAATTAAATATTTGGTTAACAACATAAGAATTTATAAAATCCTTCTACATAGAATTACACCCTTAGTAGTAACAGAACTGCCTTTTTCATATTTTTTCTCCTTCTTTTTCTTTAATTACTACTTCATTCTCCAGAGAAAAGTTTTTATATAGATTCACAAATAATAATTACCATAGTGTTGCAGCAAAGATGCCAAAATATTTTATAAAATCATCAACTATAAAAACACCACAGGGAAAAAAAATTTTAAAAAAAACACCAGCTGCAACAAAAAACAACAGCACATGCTTATAGCATGTGCAGGCAGAACTGTGAGATTTGGAACAACATTATAATTGGGTAACCATGACAGTCCTAGAAGAAGATTTAAAAAATAAATTAGTATAGAGCACTAGCCTTGTAGGTAGATTGATAGACATAAGCTGAGATAACTAAAAAAACCAAATACCTTGTTTAACTAACTACATTTCTGCTTACACATTTCACAAAGATATTAGAGTCATTTAGGTGTCACCTTCCCTGACAGCCCATGCAGTCCACTTCCCCTTCATCCTCCTAGTGATACCACCAATAGACAAAGGGATGACATCTAGAGCCTAAATCTCAGCTCACTGACTATAAAAACAACCCAGTCAACAATGAAGGGAATTCCCAAGTGGCAATGGTGCAGCTAATCTACAACTCAATCTTAAAAACAAGAAAAAGAAATGTTCTGGGATAAAGACTCCAGAGAACGCAAAATCTTTGGGTTTGTGTAAAAAGAAACTAACACTAGTACATTTTCTAACAGACTCTTAGAGCAGCTGGGAGTAAACAACCAACCATAAGCATATCAAAATCAGACAAGGAAGAAAAAAGAAACGTAATTGACTCTAGAAAAATTAAGACCTCTATCAGGTAAAAGGGAACATTTTACTGTAGTTCTTGGCTCTTTAAAGGTCAATATTTGCATACATAATAAATACATCATTAACTTAATCAAAATCATTTAATCACTAATTAAATTGTCAGAAAAGGGAGCAAAAGTGATAAAACTAAAGTCTCATCTATTTTGTCAAGAAGTCAACAGATAATGCTTAAAATTAACAAATCGAGTAATGAGAGTTGTTTGTTGTTGCTATGTGCCGTCAAGTAGCTTGCGACTCATAGCAACCCTACGCACAAAAGCCCTAAACCCTGCTCTATCTTGTGCCAACCTCATTGTCTCCTCATTGTCTCTGACACACCTACTCCCACTACCTCAATCACTGAATTGATCCATCTCATTGAGGGTCTTCCTCTCCTGAGCCATCCCTCCACTCTTCCAAACATGATGTCCCTTTCTAAGGACTGGTCTCTCCTTGCAACATGCCCAAAATATATCAGACGAAGCTTCAGAATCCTTGCCTCCAAGGAGCAGCCCAGCTTCACCCTCTCCAAGATCACCATGTTTGATCTCCGAGCAGTCCATGGTATATTTGGCACTCTTCTCCAGGACCACAGCTCAAAGGCATCAATTCTTTTTCTATCATTCCTAGTCGCTGTCCAGGTCTCTGATGCATAGTACACAATTACGAAGACTATAGCCTAGATCAGGTGCATCATAGTCTCCAGTCTGGTGTCATTGCTCTTCAGTACTCTGGAGAGGTCCCTGGCAGCTGATTTTCCCAATGCAATTCATCTCTTGATTTCCTGGCTGTTGGTCCCAAGAGTGTTGACTGTGGGGCTAAGCAAACTAAAATTGTTAACTATTTCAATCTCTTCACCATCCATACTGATGCTGCCAATTTGCCCAGTGGTGAGCATATTTGTTTTCTTGATGTTGAGTTTCAATCCATATAGGAGGCTGCAGTCCTTGACCCTCTGCAGCAAGCACTTCAGGTCCAAGTCATGGTATTTTTAATTGCTTTCTCTGCATCTGAAATTTGGGTAATGAATAAGGATGACAGAAGAAGAATCAATGCCTTTGA